TCTCTCTCTCTCTCTCTCTCTCTCTCTCTCTTCCATCTCATCCAACATATATGCATTTTCCTTCTTGTTTTCCTATTCACAAAAGAAGTTACCTTTTCGCTTCGTCCTTTCATTCTCTTGTATGATTGTGTGGGAGTTTTCCTTCTAACCCAAGAAAAAAGAAAAACAAAAAAAAACATCATACACCATTATATATATTCTTTTTTTTTTTTTACATTTTATCTCACAACGCTCGGACACATTATTTTTTCCATTATTCACACATCATTCTATCAAGAGATAAAACCCCAAGCCTTTAGGTGAGGCGAATGAGAAGCTCACATGGACATAAAGTGGTTTTTCTTATTACTATTATTATTTTTGTCCTTCTTCTCAATTACTTTTGTTGTCGTTTTTTTTTTTTTTTTTTTTCCTTCTCTATTTGTTACTGGACTCTTTTGTTATGCAACGAGTCAAAAAGAATTATCCTTCATCACCTCAATAGCCATGAGTTGACGAACACTTCAGAAATTGACGAAACACGTGCCTCAGTGTGGAGTTTCCACACATCTTCAGTTTCGTTACTTAGTCACCTTATAAAAAGTTTGCGTTGATAGTCATTTCATTTTCATTTTTTTTTTTTTATCTTTTTTCGTTTTCTTCGTCTTTTCCTTCTTTCACCATCGAATGTTTTGTTCTTCTTTCAGCTCATAATGATTTAAGGTGTGTATTTCACCATCACCATAGTCTTCTTTTTTTTTTTCTTTTAACACAAAAAATTTTAAATACACCGATCGCTCGCATCCGTATCTCCACCACCACCACCACTACCCTCTTTCCCCACCCACAAATTCATTACAAAAAGAGCAAGCATATACGTATACACAGCGAAACACATACACACACACACACACAAATAGGAAGGAAAAGGGAAAGAAAGAGAGAAAAAAAAAAAAAAAGAGAGAGAGAAAGAGAGAGAAGAATAAATATGCGCAGCACACCCCTATTACACGCCAATCGTTAGAATCCATTCTATTAATCCTTTCTTGCATTCTTCATTTTGATCAACAGTGTCCAAAAAATGTGCCATTTGAAATGCGCGGGGAGTCCATCTCTGTTGTAGGCTTATGAAACTCCTCCAGTGCACGAGTGATTGTGCTACCAGAGGCATTCCAGTGAAGCGACGATGAGGAAGATATGTGCAGACTTCCATCCATCTCATGATGTTGGAATCCCAAGAAAGTTGGGCGTACCTCTACTACACCCGGAGATGAGTCCGCTCTCCCTCTAGAGCCCCACGGGCCACTACCACTACTATTAGCACCACCACCACCACCACTGCCACCATTGGGAAATGTGGTGATGCTGTTTCCCGCACTTCGTACTGGTTGAACCCAACCAAAACTTGGGGATGCAGTACAACTTGAATTGCCCCCAAGAGCATATGGATTGTTAGTGTGTCTGTAGCTTTTACCTGCATGGCTTATATTACCCTGACTCGCCTGAAGCGAAGACTGCGAACGATCATCAGTATCTACCACCACTACAAATTCTCCTAATGGTAAAACCAAACCAGAGGAATTACTTCTTTGATTACGACTGCTATTAGTACCAGATTCATTTAGAGATGAACTCTTGCTCTGCTGAAACTGTTGTTGTTGTTGTTGTTGTTGCTCTTGTTGGCGGTAGCGCTGTTGTTGTTGTTGTCGATGATTTGGAATTCCTGACGTCCTTACAGGTGTTGTATAGTCTTCTTGACCCATGGGAGCGTCATTGTCAGAAGAGGGTAATTGCCCAGATTGACGAAGAAAAGTTTCAGAAGATCCATGTTGATCTTTTTCACGTCGTTGAGTATTACTTTCATCCGCATGTGATAAGGATTTCTCATCAGCCATAGGAGGAGGTGTTGGGACATACGGTAATGCCTTTGGGTTTAGTTCTTTTGACTGAGAGAAGGGATCACTTGAGTCAAGATTTTCAGTTTCCCTTTGTGAAGTGAGGGATTGTAGCATAACATTCATACTTTCCGCAAGTTCCTCTCGCTCTTGTTCAGAAATATGATTACCACTTTGTACCCATCGGCGGTGAAGTTGAAGATATGCTGGTACCACATGTATCTGATTACAACAAGCACTAGCAGTACATCGATTACGCTGAAATAACATGCAAACACTTGGGGCTTTTTTAGCAGATCCCTGAAATAAACCACGTGAAAAACCAGCTATACTAGCTTTTGGAAGTTTTAAACTCATCTTAAGTTGAGGGTCATGAACAGTAAATAAGTGATCTGGAGGTAAATCATTGAAACGATTTTCAAGACCATTAGACCATGATTCAAATTCACTTTTTTTTGATTGCATCCAAGTTTGTTCAATATGTACTTGATTACACCATCGTCCCCATTTACATTGGGAAGGTTCCACTGAAAAAAGTCCACATGCTGTTGGTACTTGTGATGCCATTATAGCAAATTGGTTTTGATGTCCTCCTCGTGCACGTCGAGCACGTAAGGTTGGATCTACATATAAACCCTTGGTAAAACGAAGTGCAGATATAGGTACTTCAACTACCTCTTTAAGATCAGCACAGAAAACACGAAATACTCTTCTGGGATCTTGAATAAGAGTTTGCTGAAATTCACGTTCTTTGCTTTGAAGCCAAGCAATCATTGCCTGTCTTGTAGAATTTAAATATTCAGGGTAAACGTGAATATCAGCACAATTTTCACCAAGAGTACATCTTCCTTCTTGAAAAGATTCACAAATACGTATAGCATTACGACCAGCAAAACTGGTAGGCTGACGTTGCCCACCAAAGAGTGCTTGACTTCCAGCCGAAGGGAATACAACATTAGGCCGCAGTGTGATTGGAGCCTTTAGATGGCTATCATGAACTTCAAATGTCCCTTCTGTTTCTTCCTCTTCATGTGCAACACCTGGTGAACCGCCAAAACCAACCACTGGAAAATTGAGTGGGTACTGATATACTGCAGGGTGAGTACCCACTCCAGGGTTGGCCGCCACTGGGTGTTGATTCATATAACTGGAACTGGCACCATTGGTTTTTGGATATACACTGTACATCATCATAAACTGTGGTCCTGATCCAGCTGAGTTTGAATACCCTCCAGGACTAAATCTGTGTCGGTGTTGTTCCGGGGCAAACATTTCCACACCTTTTTTTGTAGATTTCTTATTTAAAAGTAATCCCAATTTTCTGTACCACTTTAAGTGGAATATAATATATATGTAGATATATAGGTGCCACAGACGTTGCAAGGGGAACAAAAAGAAAAAGAAAACAAAGGAGTGACGTCGCAAGAAAAATACGTCTATACGAAATCCCTAGATAAATACGTCCTGCTCACTTTATCTTCTATCTCTTTTTCCGAGGGGTATTTAACGCCGTATAAGAAATTATCTTATTTATCCTTTTTCGTAGTTGTGTCTTTAGCTTTCTCTTGAAACACGGCAGAAACGTTTGGAGATGAACAGATGTGAGGTGATTTCAACAGAGTTTTTCACACCCTGCAGTGACACGGCTGTGCGTTTTAACCCTTTCTTTTTTTTTTTTTTACTTTCCAGGGGTTGTTTGCCTTCTCTTTTCCTTTCCCTCTAGAAAAAGGAATAGGGCAAGAGTCTTACTTGTTTACTACCCCTTTACTTCTTTTTCTTTTTCTTTCTCCTCACTCTCCTTTCGTCGCAAGAGAAATGGTAGCACTAACAGTAATGATAGTAGTAGTAGTAGTAGTAGTAGTAGTAGTAGTTGCAGTCGCTTTATTAAACCCACTCTTTCGTCTTGTGGAAAAATAAAGTATTTACTGGCTTTCACTACAGTCTTCCTTCAAAGAAGACTCTTCTAACCTTTTATTTATGTTACAGCAAAGGAAATGCAAAAAAAAAAGTCACCATTACATAAAAACAAAGAGAAACAGAGCATATTGAGGGAAACTCATGGAAAGAATAAAAAAAAAAAAAAAAAAAAACATGTGCAAAGACACACACATAATATATCTTCGAATACATACAAAGAAATAAAGAAGTGCTGAGATAAGTACAAAAACGAAGCACTTGCCTCTTTTCATTTGTTTCAGAATATACGCGCAAGAGTACAATAAAATGTGGGAGAGCGAGGGAGCAAATTTCATACACAAGTAGGAGGATACTTACATGGAGAGAAACACACACGTATAAAAAGAGATAGAGAGGGAGGAAGGGAAAAATAAAAAGGGAAAAAGAGAGGTGGGACGAGAAAAACACAGTACCAACGTCGCCTTTTCGTGTGTTGCCTTTTTTTTTTTTTTTTTTTTTTTTTTTTTTTTTCGCCATCTTCTACCATGGTGTCTTTCAAGAAACCTCAGGCATCCAAGCAAATAAAAATAGATATATATAAATAGATATATATGTACACACGGGAAAGAAAGAGATAAAATGATACAAAGCAGGTGACAAATTACATAGACACATATACACGCAGTCTCGCGTGTCCACGCATGTTATCCGCATACCGCACCCACACCCACAACTCCACTTCTACTTTACCCAAACACACAAACAGAGAGAGAGAAAGAGAGAAAGACTATTCTCCATCCACCCCTGGTGAGTCCGCGGGGTCCAGAGCGAGCAAGGCGATGGTGATGCTAGGCATATCTGCACCCACACTGGCGCTTCTGCTGCGCTCCTGTCCCTCGACGATACTCTCGCGCTGCGTGGCGGGGTCCATGAGTGGGAGACTGCGGACGGCGACGACGCCCGGCGTGGAGGAGACGAGGGCGGAGAAGGGCAGCAGCGCAGCCCCAACGGGGGCGTCGCCGTCATCCCCGCGGCCGGTGACGATGAAGCGGAGGGAGCGGCCGTAAATGGCGCGGAGGTCCACGATGGTGTGAGCCTCCGCGAGGGACCACGCCGGGCAACCCGTCTCCGTCCACTCCCGCTCCACCTCCAGCAGGAGATGCTGCAGACACGACATGGTCACCTGCACGTACTTCCGCGGCGTGCTCGACTTGAGGCAGCAGCAGCTGGAGATGTGCACACGCACACGAGTGACAGGGAGATCGGGGGTGTTGCCAGTATTGTGGAAGAGACGGGATTCAAATAAACCAGCACTGTGGGTACTTCCAGAGGCGAAGGGGATTGAAGCTCCACCAGAAACAACTTCTCCATTTCGTTTACCAAAACGACTTTGTACAGTTATAGTTCCTAAATTTTGTCGTCTACCAAATTCTTGATCCTTGTGCGGTTGAAGTGTAAAACGGTGTGTACCAGTTTGACAAAGTTGCTCAATAGAAATTCTAGCCACACCAAGAACATCACAAAGCTCTATATTCGTATCCCAAACTTCCAAAGAAATATGAGTAAGGATACTAGGTAAAACAGGAAGAAGGAAAGTTGCCTTTGGATATGGCCAACGTGGTGCTGTACTTCCAGATATCAAAGGTGCAACTACCATGCGTCTTCGCCCAATACGCACAGTTACAAGAGGATCAATTTGAAAGTCATCAAATCCTGTACCTTGAAGACCATCACATCCACTTACATGAACTAATAAAAGAAAATCATCCTGATCCATTCCATAATTAAAAGAATCAGAATTTCGACGCAATGGTTTCGGTGGTCTAGGAGCTTTTTGAATAGGAAAAGTATGAGCTAATACAGTTAATGTACCTCTATCTCCAATTGAAAATTGCATACGATTACGTCTGGTTCCATTCATAGAAACAGAAAATTCTGATGTACCAAGTTTATTCCTTTCATTATTATCATAGACTTCAAAACGATAAATAGCACTGCTTCCAGTAAGTGTAGGACATACAATAAAACATGATGCTTCTTCTTCTTTCCAAGTAGCGTTATAAGTACCAAGACTTAGTGGTGTACGTAAAATTACTTCTCCTCTTGGACCTCGAACAATAACAAAAGGGTCTGGTGTAAATTCTTCTTCAGTACTTGATATCATTTTAAAATTATCCACATGAAGAACTAAAACTTTAGATGTTCGTTCCTCAACTCCATCGTCATCTGATGGAGTTTTCATACCAAGAATTGATACTTTAAGTTTACCATAAATTTCCCCATCATCACCCTGAGCTCGACTTAACGGAAATGTATGAATACCAATTCCACCAAAAGCAAGAGTATCTGCAGGTGTATCATATGATGCTAGAAAAACATCACGATGATAAAGATCAAAACTAACAACTCCATCACTTTTGATAACGCAAAAACTACTTTGTCCTGGCCAAAAAGGAGTACGTGTTTTAGGAGTTATTTTAGGGGTACGCAAAACTTCTTTTGTTTTACCATCTGTTTCTACAGAAACACCTATAACTGCTTCAATACGATGTTTAAGACCTTCTACACCTAATACTTGTACATATAAAGTACTAATATCATCAGATAATTTTTCATCATCACTTTCATCTAAAGCTCGTTTATGTAAACTACTGTATTTTGATGCAGTAACAGCTAACATACAAACTTCAAGATTGGCATTTTCTTCACCAGGTGTACATGTTACACTTGAATCATCTCGATGTAAACGTAAAGATCGTAAACCCACACCTCCATTTTCTCTTAGTTCACTTGTAGCCAATGTAGCAGTATATGCAATTAAACTTTCATCTTCAGAATCACATACAGTAAATTGTAACTCAGAATCTCGTCTAACAAAACTAATAAAAGAAGCTACTTCAATAGGCCATACAGGTTTTACACGATCTTGCATTACTGGTGTACGAGTTAGAACTCGTGAATTTGTAGAAACCTTTACTATTGGAGATTGTATTTTATCCCTAATGTCAAGACCATCACAACGTCGAACATGCATAAGTAACAAAACTAAACCATCTTTACCTCTTGTAGAATTATTTTGATCTTCTTCAGTCCATTGTTCTGCTGTTTGTGGAGGTAAGCAAACACGCACCATTTCTTGAAAATAATTCTGATCATCAAGTTTTACAAATTTATCCAATGCTGATTGAAACATTGCAGCACTAATTTTTGCTTGTTGGGTGAGATCAATACTATTAGTCTTGGCCCAACTCGCAACAGTATTCTGAAGACTTATGCTTGTAGCCTCAGAAGGATTAGGAGTTGTAGGGTTAGCGAAAACACTTGTTCGGCTGCAAAAACTAACACTTCGACTCATTCGATGATTACATCCAGCAGATTGAATACGTGGAGGTGAATGCTTATGATGTGCAAAAGCAGAAGATGGTCGTACAGGTCGAGATCTTAAAGATGTTCCACTATGTGGACGAGATCTTGAAGTTGAATTCATCAAATCCTCCATAGAACGTTGTGTAGTTGTTTGCCAATGAGGTAATAGTCCAACATCAGGTGTACGCGTACGTCGTCGTGAATTTTGAACCGTAGGATCTAAAGTAAATCTTGGACTTATAAGAGGAGTATCCGACTCTGTTGGAACTTGATTATTCTCTAAAGCGTCTGCAATGGTATCAAGAGTGTAAAGAACAGGTGGCGGAACTACATATTGAGGTAATGTGAGATCATTTGGAATGGTTGTCTCGGATGAAAGTTCTTCACCTGGTTCCAAACTATCATCCATAACAATAGTGACTTTACTTTTGTTAATTTGTCGGAGAAAACCAGGTTGACGTTCAGTTGGCATTAAAAATATTTGTTCTACCAACATTTGTTGAATTTCATCTACTTCTCCAGGAAAATCATAATCTACAGCACTTGGATGTTCTTGTTCAGGTACTGATAAAAGTTCTCCTGCTCTCCTATTAAGTTCAGTTTCAATACTATGTTCAAGTTGTCGTCTATCTTCTCGCTTAATCGGTTCACTTCCTTCATCCAGTTGTGATAAATCTTTATCTTCCATAGCGTAATTATTCCAGTCAAAGTCAGATAAAATAGTTTCCTCTTTTAATAAGGGTGATTCCGCTACATGTGGTGCATTTTGAGTTGCATCTGCATCTAAGGTAATCAACCTCTTTGTGCGTGGAGGTAAAACATTAATACTTGAAGATCGAGTAGCGGGTGGTGACGGATTTACTCCTCCCCCTGATGGATCCTCTGCCTCCTCTGTACCTTGTGCATTCTCTGCATTTTCCGTAGTCTCTGCATTCTCCGTAGTCTCTGTGGTTTCTGTGCCGTTTTGGGCTCGATAGAGATCAATACCTTGTCGACAGAGATCGACGGCCTGGGCATCGGCACGTATAGTTGAGAGTGCCTGCATAATCTCCTCCGCGGTGATGGACCAGCCGTCGACGGAGGTGCGGGTGACGACGTCGGCGGGCCACAAGTGCGGGCAGAGGCACAATTCGCCCACAAATTCCGCCGTGGAGCGCAGCGTCTCGGCGTCCGGCCCCCCGCAGACCGCCAGCGTCCCGTGGCCAACCACAAAGAGACGATCGCAGAGGGAGTCCTTCTTGAAGAGAGTGACGCCCGGGGGAAGAACGTGGACGTGGGCCGTGAGGGCAAGATTCATGCGTACACGTTCAGTGGCTTGACTCAGACAAGGAACTCCACTCAGCAGGGCGGCAAGTCCCATAATATCACGTTTTTTTCCATCTTCAAGCCATTGTTCTCGTCGTTTAAGGGCTTTTCTAATAACACTCTCACATAATTGCGGTTTCCTGCGTAATCGTTTCATAAGATATTTTCGATGTAAACAATAAACCTCACACATAGTAGTCGCAACAGCGTGACAACAACGAGGTTCATCAAAGATAACACTAATTTCTCCAAATGAAGCACCAGCATCAAATTCAATAATTGGTTCTTTCCTAACTATTGTTTTTACAGTTCCACGACGAATGATGTACAAGTAAGGATCATGATCCCCTTCATTAAATATAGTGTCACCTATACAAAAAACTTTTACCTCCATAGATCGGGCAAGTCGTACTCTGTCACTTGAACTAAATAACGACCATAACCAACTTCGACGAAGTACCAATGACATGGGATAATAATTTTCACTCATTAATTGCTCACACATTGGGACAATATGTAATCTTAGACAATCAAGTACACTTTCTGCAGATAGTTGAAATACGTAACTACTTATTACATCCCATACCCATCGAGCTGGTATTATAGCTACATCTGTATAACCACGAGCTGCAATGCATGTCGGAGATGCATCTCTACAAAGGACAACGCGATCACACAAAATTGCAGGAGCAGATTGTCGACGTGTGTAGTATCGTTCAGTTAGTGATGTAGGTGATCCTAATTCTACAGTTTTTTCATATACATCACCATAAAGAACTACTACTATACCACATGATACATACCATTCCCTCGTGTAAACAATAATTTCTTCTGGTTCCAAATAATTGTAAATCGCTTCTTCTGCTAAAATTCTTAGTATTTCTACTGGCCAATTGGACATAAGTGAATGAGAAGATCGAAATGTTTGAACAATTGAATCTTCTGTATACACTCGTAATCCACGCTCAGTTGACCATCTTGCCCTTTTTCGTGCAGAAAGTACTCTTCTCAAAATTATAGGAAGAAAAAGTTTTTGCAAGACTGACATAGCTTCATGGGCCTCTGCTGAATCAAAGTCTACCGGCCTAGGTACAGAAGAAGAAGAAGAAAAAAGACTCGCTACTCGATGTGCCTTTGAAAGGCCACTATAGGTAGATTCAAAGTTATTGCGTGGGCCACCAACACTAAGGGGTCGAGCAGAAGCTAAGGCACTGCGTACATCCCGCGTGGCTCCGCTAAGAGGGCGAGAAAATGGAGGAACCGAAGACATGTACACGTAGGAAAAAAAAGTTGAAGATAATACTAATAGTAAAAAAAAAAAAAAAGCTAAGAAAGCAGAACTATATATATATATA